GTACTGAAAGGATAAGCTTATTATACCCGGTATGGATAATCTTCTACCGGGGGTAATGTTTATCCATAATTGGGTACTGAAAGGATAAGTTTATTATACCCGGTATGGATAATCTTCTACCGGGGATAATATTTATCCATAACCGGGTACCGAAGTGATAAGCTTCTTCAGGAAGCTTATTTCCTATAGAGTACTAAATAGATAAACATATTTACGGTGGAGTCCCATATGGATAAGCTTCTTCAGGAAGCTTATTTACAACAGAGTACTAAATGAACATCCATAATATAATATATTTATAACACTAATTGTGATTTTTTGTATTTTCTCTTTGTTGATAGTAAACAAATGAACTTTGATGAAGCTATTACAGACAAAAGGTGGAGGCAAGGCTTAGAGGAGGAGATCGAGTTGATAGAGAAAAGCAACACTTGTAAGTTAACAACTCTTCCCAAGGGTCATCGAGCAATAAGAGTTAAATGGGTATACATGACAAAGAAGAATGCTTATGAAGATGTGGAGAGATAAAAGGCACGACTTATGGCTAAGGGCTACAAGAAAAGGCAATGTGTTTCCAATAAGGAAGTAGAGCTCAAATATGTGAAGTCTCATGATCAAACTGCAGATATCTTTACAAAGCATCTCAAGTTTGAAGATTTTCATAAATTGAGATCAAGACTTAAAATGAAAAAGAAAAATCAAAATTAAGGGAGAGATTTGTGGGACCATCTAAATAAATAAAAACGAAATAAAGAAAAATAAGATGAAAACAAGTTGCAGGAAGTTGCAAAACCAATTTATTTCGTACACACTAAAATCAGAGAGCGCAATAGAGCATAGAGAGTAATTCATAGATTGTAGTTTGTGAGTTAAGTAAAGAGTGGGAATAATATTATACTGAGGTATTTAAAATAAAAAGTATTTTTGTTTTGAAGGTGTAGTAATCTTTTGACACTATCAAATTATAATATTATAGTGGTATCATATTACTCACCTTAGGCATTGTACATTCTAACTGTCCACATTTACCTATTTGGGTTCCAAGTGGTACTGGTTCTTTTACCACTGCTTCAGCTTGGAATTTAATCAGGCAAATAGTGTTAAATGTCATGTCTAAAAGAGGATTTTGCAAAAATATATCCCTTTTTAATTGTCCTTTACTTGAGTGGAGGATTAAACAAAAAAAAGTTGCCTTTTGATGATATTATTTTGAAGGCTAGGTGTACAGTAAAATATGGCACTTAGAGAATCCATTACCTTACACAACCTACATGGATTGTGTCCCCAAGACATCTCTGCTAATCATTAATATGTTGAAAGGGGAGAAAACCACCATAACATATTCTAGCTATAAAAAACCAATTAAGTTGCGAACGCTTTGGCTAAATGGAGTACTGATAAGCAAAAGAAATAAGTAACAATAGTCAACTAATTAACAACTTGATGACACAAACGGTATGTTTGCTAACACGTGTATCTTTATTCACGTTACATTCAATATAAAACAATACAAAAATCATCGCATAACTAAATGCATATATTATTCGCGAATACAAGAACATGATAATGAAAAAAAAACAATTCGCTATCATTTCATAATTTATTCTAGGACTAATATTTCTTATAGTACGGATAACCACACGACCTTCCGTAAAATCAAACTCCTCGGCTAGACAGCAAAAATTAAAAGTCCTCGTCACATTCATCCCTCTGCAAGTAATGAAAAAAAAACATCAAAAAGGTTTAAGTTTCATGCATTAACAATATAAAATAATCACGTCACTTAGATTATTGCAGATTAATCTTGTAATGAATGTTAATCGGTGATCTAGAATAAATAGTAAGTACACATTTTATATGGTAGAAACATGCTATAACATATTAAATTACACAGATAGAGAAAATTATAAAGTTATAATTGACGAATCTATTACCTCCTCACGAGTGAAAGTTAGGCCAAGTCTGATGGATCCACATTCTTCATCATCCTTGTAAAGCTGATAAGAGGTTGATCCTACTTCTCCTTCACGAAACACTTCTTCCAAAGAAATTCTATTTTCGATTAACAAAAAACAACATTATTAACGTTGTTTGACTGTATAACAAAAAAATATTACTATTATGGAATATAATCAGGGAGAGTATTAACGTTGCTTCTCCTAGGAAATCGTCATCTTGGAATGTGTTTTCATCCATAAGTTTGATGTGAAGCTCGTCGCAACCACGAGTGATGGTGAAGAGGAAGGACTCATTCCACTCAGGGTCGGATCCTTCACCTGTAAAAAGCAGTTCTTATTATTGAGTTACAAATTCCAAATGTGTATACACTGAAAGTACAATGAATTTTTATACTTACATTTTTTTTTTTACTAAGATAGGTAGGATACAATAAAATTTCATTGTTCAATCCAAGTTAATTAATTACAAACCTGATGCAGTACTGCTTTTCTTCTCTTCAGTGCGGCAGGTGACGACAACATAAGGATTCATATCAGCTGTTGAAATTTGAAAAAGAAAAATAAATAAATTCTTTAACCCATGAGATGAAGCATTACGTAATCAAAATTTGCATGGCTGAATTACTCTCGGATTTATCTTACGGAATGACCGTAAGGGAATTCGTGAGGAACATACTTAGCCAATTTGTGTCATCAAGGCCTCTGGCATTTGCAACATAAACTTCAAGTTGTCCGTAAGGCATCTTTGGATCAGATTATTGGTAAAAAAACAGAATAAGATAATGGGAAGAAATTAAAAGACTTCAACAAAAATACTTTTATTGCTTTAAATTATGACATTTAGGCCTGCTCAATTTATAGTTTACTAGTCCAATCACTGCAATACACGTGATCACTGTGATCCGTAAATATTTGAAGACGCATTTGAATAATTGTGGTTAAAGAAAAAGTAAGAGTAACTGATGTACTAAAAAGTAAGAGTAACTGATGTACTAAAAAGTAACAGTAAACTATATTTCAGAAAATATTGTGTAACAATATTGAATGACTGATGGCCTTTTACATATTTATTTCTCTTTTAATTTTTCTGTGGAGTACTACTTCAGACCCTTATTAGAAGGTAGTATTAGTGGGCGGAGTCAGAATTTTCGTTAAGGAGTGTCAAAATATATAAAAGTAAACATACCAAGAAATTAAGGGGAGTCAATACATAGTATATATATACATATAATTTATTTTTTTACCTACCTACATAGTATATTTTTACCAATGACACCCCTTCGTATAAGGTGGCTCCGCCACTGCTAGTGGTGATCCTGATAATTTAACTTGCTTCTTACTTTTTGTATTTTTTTTAGAATTCTTGGATTCAGAATGTGAGCACGTGATTTTTGTCTTACGCGACAATCGCTCCAAAAGAAATAAAAATAATAACAAATGGTCCTGCTGTACAATTTTTGGATTTTACGTGGCACTTAGTTAATTATTTATGATTTTTGCCCATTTTTATTTTTTATTAAAAAAAAACAAAATATATAAAAAAAATGTGTATGTGTCATGCGTAGTTGGAACCGTAATCCGGTTATTGAAAAGAAAAATCATAAATAGGCATCTTTGTCCGTGATTTTTTTTGTTTTGTTTGATTTTACCTGCTTTAAATATTTTAATATACGTGTGCAAATAATTGTGTTAAGTGTTTATTTAATTTTAATTTGATTTACTTAGGTTTTGTTTTTAAATAATAATAATAATAATAATAATAATAATAAAAATATATAAGAGATAAGTGCAGAATTAGTTTGAAAATCAGTTTGGGCTGATTTTCGTTTTTTAATTCAAAGCCCAAACAACCGAGCCCAAAAACCTAAGCTTGCCCCGGTCCGGACCAGCCTACTTCAAAAACGTCCAAACGACGTCGTAGTGGTTTAGTCTGATCTGAGCCGTTGATCTTTGAATGATCAACGACCAAGATCTCACACCCCGTACCCACTCACAGACCCGACCCGTCTCACCCGGACCGACCCCAACCCTTCACCCTTGAAACGACACCGTTTCCCGTTAGTTGAAGGATCCTGGCCCTTCATCGTGTCTCATCCAACGGCCAGGATCCATCTATCCACTAACTATATAAACCTACAACCCTTCACCCCGCGCCCTGATCCAAACCCCCCCTCCTTAGGTCGTCTTCACCAGACCTCAGACCTTCAAACCCTAGCCGCCCCTGTATACTTTCACCATGAAAGCCGGCGGCATGGACGCCGGTGACCCCACCCTTAACACCATAGGACCATCTCACCCCCCTTAACATGGATCTGTGGACCGTTTAGTTCGAATCATCCTCTAGGTCCTCGAATCTTCATTTGAAGATTCGAGCAAAACTCGATCTACACCGATCTGCCCTAGATTCATACCAGACAATCACCGGACCCCCCTCGTGACCAAACCATGCTTGGTTTGGTCCGAATCTAACCAAGAAAGCCCAAAACCCAAATCTGCCCTCTAGAACCCTAGGTTTCCTCGTGCCTGTTCCGTGCCTGTTCGAACTAAGAGATTAGGGTCTAATGGACCTTAATCGAAGTGTTTCTCATTTGAGAAACATTTCAATTAAAGTCCGTTCAACCTTGAGAAAGGGTCTGTACAACACAAGCTGATTTTTTCTGTTTCTGCTTTCAAAGTTTAAGGTAAGTTTGTTTTCTCTTTGTTATTCAGTACGTGTGTGGTTTAAAGGTCTGTTCGTATTGGCCGAATGTCTTGTGTAATTTGTTGTCTTTGAATTTTTTACCAAATGTATCCTGTCCACCTTTCCTGAACCTATGTGTTTGACTAAAGTCCTTCTTCTATTCACTGATAACNATGTATGTATGTATGTGCTGTGCAATTAGCTGAATTTCAAATTTGAACTGATTAACTGATTCCTCGAGTACAATTCTGCTGGGTCAGTATGACTCGAGTCATGTGTTCGATACTATTAAACATCTGATTTTTGGTTACGATTGTACATGTTATGATTAATATAGTCGAGTCGACATGTGTCGTCAATTAGTTTCAGCTGCCTGAACAATAACAAATCGATTTGCTTCTGCTAAGCATTGCCTGAATCAATTAGGAACTGAGTTTAGTACTTATAATTGTTAATTTGAATCAGAAATGTAAAATCAATGTTTTGTTCAGTTACAGTTCTGAAATTGGAGGGCATGTGCACTTGTGCACCACATGTGCATTTGTGCACAGCCTGTGTCCTGCATAAGGGCTTTTTGAATTAAATAGTTTGACAGCATATGCTGTCAGACTACATTCTGCTGCCCATACTCTACTTTAGTTTCAGAAATAATAAACATTACTCAAAAGTGAGTCTGCCAGGGAATATCATGGGGTTTTGTTTATACTTAATTAGCTAAGTGGAATCTGAAATAGGAGAGCACATGGGAGGGGTGTTCTAATTGTCTGAACAGGCTGTTAAAGGTTTTAGGTTTATAAAAGAGGGGACTTTCATCAGTTTTAGGAGATCAGATAGATCAGATAAGAGGGAGGAGCTGAAGACATACACAGATAGACATAGATACACACACACAGACAGAGAAAAAGAGAATACACACAGAAAACTTAGTTTGGAGATTGAGAGTTGAAGTTCTGAAAAGCAGAAAAACTGGAAAAGAACTCTGTTTGATAACACAGACAGACAAAACTAGAAATTGCATTCTTCTTGCTGTCTTGATTTCACTGGTCTCGACCTGTTTGTCCAATACCGATTTCTTCTAAATCCAACTGAGTCTACTGGTTGTTTGTTGGTTTACTCTGGGACTTGATCTAGCTGGGATCTTGATTCTATTCCAATTATTTTGCTTGTTGCTGCTGCTGCTATTCTGTTTCTTGCTGCTGCTGATTTCCCTATCTTCTTCCTCTTCTCCTTGCATTTTCAGTATTTCCAGGTACACATCTCGAGTCTCACATTGGTGTAGCTGATTGTAACATTGAAAAGCTTGAATTGAAAGATCTGAAGAATTTTTTTATCATCTGTTGCCTTACTTATAGCTTTGCGAATATTGTTAAAGTTGTATAAATCCTTTAACTTGTAGCCTAATAGAGAACACATTAGTAAGTTTGTACTTAATTAATGTTTATTTGAAACTGTGGTGTTTGATTCGTTTAGTAGCATACAGGATGTAAATATAACTCATGGAATGTGAAACTATTTAGTGCAATTGTTAAACTTAAATTCACTCTTTCAGCATGTTTTGAATAAGTAGAGGCAAATGGCTGTTAAATCTAGCCAAATATAATACAGTTTTGAATCACC